GCGTCGACCGGTTTATTTAGGCACACAGAGCTGCAGCTGCGTGACATTTGATTCTGGGTTCAGGATCTCAGCGCAGGTCAGACTTCATTCATTCATTCAAACCTAAAAACTCGGCCCGTTCACTCATGCACACACTGATTTGAGGACTATTTCAGTCTTCCTACTTTAATTCAATGAGTCTCTTGCGGTTTCTGAGCGAAAACTGTTTCCAAGCTATTTTTTCCCCAGTGTACCACACACAGAAATGGGAAAGGATTTCTCAAAATGTAAAGTGCCAAGAAAGTCAGATTTCAGACTAATAAGGAAGATAGAGTCAGTGGAAGAGAGCCCAAACTCATCTGATGAACTGCTGTGCAATTTAAGAAACGCCAATGAAACTATTTCTACTTTCTCACTTTGTTTTTGTTTTCTCACAATTTGGACTTGTTTTTTCTCAGGATTGCAAGATATAAACTCAGAATCTCAAGATAAAAAGTTCACCTTTTTTATTTTTTATTCCGTGGCAGAAAAAACAATTGCGAGATGAAAACTTAGAAATGCAAGAGCAAACGTTTAGATGGATGTATAAAGTCAGAACTGTGAGATATAATGCAACTTACGTAAGATATAAAGCAACAACTGTGAGATAAAACATACCTTTTTTATTCCATGGTGGAAACAAAAAAACTAAATGTAATGACCTAAACTCAGAATTCTAGCCTTTTTTCTTGGAAACAAAAACAATTGCAAGATGAAAAAAAAAGAGTCCGAATTAGAATCGTGATGAAAAAAGTCTGAATTCTGACTTTACAGATCTCGCAATTCTGAGGAAAAAAGTGAGATGTGTTGCAATTCCACTTTAAACATTTTTTATCCCGTGGCAGAATCAGGCTTCAATACGAAACGTTTCCTGATCATCTGAACGTGCCGCTCACTGAACACTTACAGAGAAGAAGCTGGAGTCGAAGTGCAGCAGTGTCATGAACATGAGCACCAGAAGCACGCGGCCTCCCAGCTGCATGTACTGCTTCGGAGAGCTCTCTCCCATCGACGGCACGCCGGCAAACATGCTCTTCCCCTCAGAGCGAGACTCAGCCAGCAGCAGCAGCAGCCCTCCACCCAGAGCCAGGTTCCTGCACAAACACTCTCTCATCAGCATTCTGCGCGTCTACGAGTGTGTGCACACTTTGCACACTGCAGGTCACATGTTATTGAGGATCGCGGTTGATGTGCAAACAGCAGATCGCACACGAACCATGCATCTGATTGCTTTTGTGTTTTTGATCATGACGAGTCTCTTTTATGCATGCATGCATTCGTGCTTTGAGGAAGATCTGATGACTTTCAGTGTAAATATGCAACAATAGAGATCATCAAACAGTGGGTATAACAACAGCAGTGTGTTTGCACTGACAAAAAGGAACACAGATGAACTTTGTGTTAGATATTTCTGACCAAAGTACCAAATATTACATAAATATTGGAAGTTACCAGTACATTTTTTTTGTCATAATTTGCATAATTTACAATCAGTCATTCAGTTCGGTCCTGAACACACACCACACAAATTTATATTAAATGCATGTATGTGGTCGTCACTACTGAATTATTTAAAGGACTGAATCTGGATTTATAATATGCATGACGGAATGTGAACCAGAGTAATTATAGTTAAACTCAAACCATAAAAAAACATAAAATAAATAAATGTTAACTGAAATAACATTTTTTAAATAAATTCAAAATGATAAAATAATAAGAAATGAATAAAACAAAAAACAAAAAATATTTTTTTTTATTTCAGCTAGTTCCCAAGCAAACATTTCTTATTTTCATTTAGTTTCATTTCAAGCAATAAAGAAAATTTAATTAAACTAAAACTAATGAAGACAAATTAATACAAACTATAGACATATTTAAAAATAATAAAAATGACAAAAACAACATTTTATCTAAAACTTTAACTAAAATTAAAATATAAAAATAAAATCCAATTCAATAACATCATTTGTGAGTTTAATTTCAAGTTCTAAAATAACTCAAATTAAATAAACTCAAACTAATAAATACAAACTATAGACATATAAAAAAAAAATTTAAATGACAAAAACAACATTATCTAAAACTTTAACTAATATTAAAATAAAAACAAAAAATATTAAAATAAAATCCAATTCAAAATAGTAACAAAAACTATAACAGTATCCCAATAACATCATTTGATGAGTTTAATCTGAAGTTCTAAAACGAATAAATAAAAACTAAAGATATATAATAAAAATGACAAAAAGCACAAAACTCTAACTAAAACTCAACTGAAAGCAACTGTTGTAGGATCTCAACAACAGCACCTCCTCAAACACTGGAAACAGGAGTGACACCGCATTCAGCTCCAGTGTGAACAGAGTTAATGATCTGAACTCACCTCATGAGAAACTTGAGATCCCACAGAATACTGTAGGCGACCGTCTGAAACACAGAGACGCGCTGATCAACACGTGCTGCACGTCCGTGTACGACAGACATGCATGCTGTTCGCTCACCTGCAGTGCAATGATGCCAAACAACCCGAAGCAAGCGTACTGAACGAGGTTTCTGCTGAGCACCAGGACACAGCCACCTGCGGACGAGACGTCAAAACTCACTGCGACACAAGTCCTGCTGTTTAATCATCTGAAGCGTGCTGCAGCTTACAGGATGCAACCAACATCAAGCATGCAAAGCACACACTAGCACTGATAACTTGACATCGCCGTCTATTAATTATAACACTAAACACCAGTGTTGGGGGTAACACACTACAAGTAACGTAATCAGATTACTTTTTTCAAGTAACTAGTAAAGTAAAGGTGTCGCCATGGTGACAGAATCAGAAGATGTTACTGTAGTTCTAAAATAAATATGCATATGCATTAATTCATCTCTCACAAAAAACGAAAAAAACACAGATTCAGTATTCCTCAATTTATAAAAAAACAATGCAACTCAGAATATGACGCAAATCTGCAATAATTAAATGTTAAACAACACAAATATCCTTTATGTATTTAATCCCATTCTATTAACCAATGTCTTTGCTTCTGAGCTTCTGTGTTATTGTGTGTGTGTGAGTGAGTGAGTGAGTGAGTGAGTTATAGTGTGTGTGAGTGAGTGAGTGAGTGAGTGTGTTATAGTGTGTGTGAGT